AAGAAAGGCAAGACTTGGCAAGACTTGGTAAGACTGTATTGCTGGAGAAGACCATTTTCTTTTCTTCCAACATGACTTCTCTAAAATTTGGGAAGGAAGTGGCTACTCTGTGGAAATCATTGGCTCATGTAAACCTGACATTAGTGTCACTCTTGGAGTAGGTGATTGAAAAGACAATCGCACTGTGATATAGTTCCTTCTTTATTCCTATTTCTAATGCCACCTATTTTTGAGTTTCTTGGGCTTCTTTGTAAAAACTCAACCAGCTTTTCAAAAAAGAATATATAGTACAGTGCTCAACACTGTAGGCTTTGGCAACCAACATACTTTAGTTTGAATTCAAGCTTTATTACTTAGAAGTAATCTTGAATGGGAGCCAAAAATAATGTTGAGTCAGAGCCTTAGTTTCTTTATCTATATAATGGGAGTAACTGTGCTCAAATCATAAGGTTGATGTGAGGATTATGTAAGACACAATATAAAGAGCTTATCTTTAGTATATCTTGGCACATAGTAAATGCTCAATGTTTATTATCATCATTTTATTATTCCCTTGACTCAACTTCTGTGTCATACTTTACTATATTCTTATATAGTTTTAGCATAGCTTCTGTTTCCCAAAACTAATTGCATTACTGCTTTGTTAAAAAAAAAACAACCAATAATTATCTCAGCTGGTATTCTGTAATCAGTTGTGAAGTATGGAGAGTAATTTGTTAGTAATATCTTAAACACTGAAGTTGGTGGATGATTTTCTTAAAATTATACTGTAGGAGGTGCAAATTTTTCCTTTCAATGCTGTCAGTCTCACTTGTATTTGTATTTGCTTACTTAAGTGGGAGAAAAAAGAGCAAAATGATAGCTGTATATCAGGAGTTACATATAACCCTGGAATTTCCTTCAAAATATGTCATATATGTGACCATTATCTTTCACATGTGGCAACTAAGAATGATGGGCCTAGAGAAGAAACTCCACTTTGCAGGACACACAAGCTTTTAACAGCAGGCCCCAGTCCAGACTCACCTTTAATTCTTTGTACCAAAGTAGAAATCATAGTTTTTCCTGCCTCTTTGGCATTTATCCATGTTCTTCCTTCTGCTTTGGTTGCCTGCTCAGCTACCTTTCCCTTCTGTGCAATTTCATCTCATTGTTCAAGGCCAAATTTTGATGCCAACGCCCTCTCCTCTAAGATGTAATGTCTCTTCTACAGCATTTTTTGACCTCCTGTTTTGATGAATAAATGAGGCCCCATAAGCACAAAGCACCAACTTGGCAGGATTCATACAGTGAGATTCATACAGGATTCACCCTGCACTACCTCTTAAGATGATGCTACTACTCCTCTCTGGGATTCCCTGTTTACCATCCAGGAACCCTATGCTAGTGTCAGTTCAAGGTCATGGCAGGTACAGATGGAATAGTATGCTGTCACCACAAAGACTTTTGAACACATTCCAAGAACTGCACCAGATACCAAGGTTTTTTGATAGATTGGTCTAATATGAGAGGCCTGAAACTGGAAATTAGGAGATTCTGGTCTTCCCATTTAGACTTAAGGTTGCTAACTATTTAGAAACAGCCTTTGGGCCAATTACTTTACCATGCTGAGCCTCAGTTTTCCTGTCTTCATAATGAGCTTGATCCCTGACCTGCCTGCCTTTTCAGGATGTTATGAAGTTCAGATGAGATCATGTGTTCCAGAAATTGAAATGCTGGCAATAATTTCTATGGCTTCACATTTACTTTGAGATAAAGGCCAAAGTCTGCTGTGTGACACATAGGCCCCTCATTGGCTTTGCTTGAGCCTCCTTCTCCACTCTCCTGTCTCACAGCCACAGTCTTCTTTAAATATTTCCTTCAGACTAAAGTATTTTTTATATTTTTAAAAAGTTTTAAAAATTTTTATTTTATCATTCAAGTATAATTTTCTGTTTTTTACTCCCATCCCAGCCCACCCCCCAGTGCTCCCCACCTCCCTTCCATTTCTACCCCCGTAAAGTATTTATAGTTTTCTTTACAAGGTTGCTGTCTCTTGTCTAAAAATGAATACCTTTTTCCCTATCTGAGCTTCATCTTCATTCAACTTGGACCACAGCTTAGAGTTGTCTAAGAAGCCTTCCTTGATCTTCCCACTAGACTACACTAGGCATCCTTCTTCTGCACTCCAACAAAAGGTTGAACTTCATTTACCATAGCATCCATTACATTATATTACAATTGTCTGTCTCTGTCTTTCTCTTCCACTAGATTGGAAGATCCATGAGGTCAGTGACCATGTCTGTTTTGTATGTGTGTAGAATACATAGTGGTTACAGAAATAGTTATTGAATAAAAGAAAGAACACATAAATGAGGGGGTAGTTGGATATTGTGCCCATGTGAGAAGTCCCTGCAATTTTCTGAAGTGGAATGATTCTCCTACAAGATTAGTTCATCCTTGGCATTACCCATTCTTGGCATTGTCTATAATCATCAAAAGGGCTTGCTTCCTTTAGCAACAAGTGCCACTGCCCAATTGGCAGGGAATGCGCCTCTCAGAGCATCTGACTGCTCTGCTGTCCTGTTTTCTGGTGTGAGATTTGAAGTGACCCAGTGGGTATTGGAGGGATGTTTGCATAGAGTCTCACTTAAATCAACTTCTTTGGTATAGTCTTGCTAACTTGAAGTCATACCAAATCCCCCAAATAGCCTTCTCCTTGCTTGAGCACCCTGGGAAAGAAGATGAGGGAAGAGGGAAGGTTGTGGCTTGAAAAAAATAAAACAAATAATGAAGGCAGGATAATCTGAGGATTTGAATCATTTCCATCTGCCCATTAACTAAAAAAAAAAAGGTGTTCATGCTTCAATGTATTTTTTAAATGTTTCTTACTGTTTCTGTAATCTCTACTTTGTTTCCTACAATAATTCTTTCCTTCTATCAACCTTTTTTTTGAAGTGTCATGCAAAAAACCTCTGTAAGTGGGTGGTAGGTGAAGTAGGTGCTGTGTTAGGAGTATAGATCCTTGGCCTATATAGATAGAAACCACAGATGAGATATGGTAGTCTCTCACCAGGGGTCTTGGCCAATGTGCAAGTGGATGGTAGAGATTCTCATGTGCTCTGCCACCATAGAATACTACCTGCAGGCACATAAAGGGACTATGACCTGAATGTTCTAGGGCTAGCTCCATACCATGGGTCCTAATTTACAACATTCGACAAGTTTTTTGGCCTTGCTTCCTCACGTGAAGAATAAAAAATTTGGCTAGATGCTAATATCTCTTCTAGTTCTAAAGGCAACAAAAGTAAATCAAAGGTTACCCCAATATTGCCTGAGGGATGGCTGTGATAGGTTGAAATCCCAGACCAGCTTGGCCTAACACATTTAATAGACTGTAAACTCACTGTGTTTTAACATGGACTGTGTTTTAACTCCTATTTATCTCCTCTATCTCTGACATCATTTAAACAAACAAATTATTTTATTTTTGAGTCTTTTCTCCATCCATCAAGAGGTTCTCATCAATAGATGACAGCATCTATTACACAGAACTCAACTGTTGTTTTGACCCCATAGGTGTTTAGTAAATATTTGTTGATTACAAATGTAGATTTTAGTTTCAAAACTGTATGTTCTAGGGATAACAAGTGGCCCTTTACTTTTCCTTTAATGTAATGATTAAGAAAGGTGTTGCTGTTTGCAATAACCATGGTGTCGAAATTGAAAGGGGTTTTCCATTTTTTCTAGTCTTATTCCATACCTTCAGACACACTTATTTCATAAATGAGAAATAACTAAGGTCCACAAAAGGAAAGCGGGTTTCCCATCATCATATCAGCAGATCAGAATCAGAGCTATATACTAACTCACTTACAGGACTCCTGATTTCAGGCTCTTTTTAATCTACTAGGTGTCCTTGTCTCTCTGATCTGTGTCCTTTGCTACTCTTTAGGAAGTCTACAGTGGATACTAATTATGTTTTCAATTGAGGCAGGGGCTGAGTGGTAAATGAAACCAAGTGGGGTTGCTATTAGGTCATTGTCAGTAGATCTAACAGAAGAGAATCTAAACAATGATAGTCAGAGGGGATCCTCAGGAGGGAGGCTCTACTTTTACACACACACACACACACACACACACACACACACACACACACACACAGCCTTTTACTTAGATACACACAAATACATATGCTGACAATCTCATTTTCTTCTGTCCATCAATCACTGTTCTCAGGAAAATTTTAAGAAATCCATTGACTCTGAGGTGGTTAGTGACAAAGATGGCCCAATAAGAGATCCCTCTGAGGGATTCTAGCATTTAAACAGGGGGCAGAGCAAGAGAAATAAGCTCACCAGCTGGGTCATATACATTCTTAACCCAGTCCAGCAGAGAGACACTGTGACAACCTTTATTACAAGTGAGCACATTGAGGCATAAAGAGCTTTCATATTATTCTTTAACATATCTGTCCCACCTAATCGATTACCTATATATCAAGCCCAGAAATTCATTTTGGGATCTCATAAGTGTTCACACTGAGTAAGACAGGAGAGGCTCTTGCTTGAACTTTTGAAATCCCACCCCAAAATGTCTCAAATTTTACCTGGGTGGTCAAGGATGACATGGCTCCTGAAAAACAGTAGAGATGTAAACACGCCTGGACAGTGAAGTCTGCACCCATTTGATCCCAGATAGATGAGAATTAAAATAAACAGCTGGTTTTTGTGTATTTTTTCCTGGTTGGCAAGCTCAGGGTTTTTGATGAGAGGTTGTAATGGGCATTGGTGTCCATCAGTAATTTCTAGCTCAGACCCTTTAATAGTTAGTTGTCGTAGGTCAACGTATGCTAAGGCCAACACAGGTCAAATTTATAACCTGTGCAAAGATATTTTTAAAAAATGTGTGTATGAAAATCAAAGTAGTGTAAAAGGTAACTGGGCATGATACTAATTCTTCACTTCAATAATGACAGCCAATAAAACCAGCTAATTAAAAGAACTCTGACGATGTTCATCTGAAATTTTAGATTGTTTTATATTTTAACAAATTAATGATGGTGATAAGAGGACATTAGCAGCTTTTCTAGAGTCTTTTTGTTAACAATAACTTGAGCCTGTAGCCACAACAGGGGCTGTAGCCAAGTTTTAGCTGGCAGACGAGCAAGCCAGTATTTTACACAATAGATGACATTTCTGAAAACAGAGACAGAGACAAACCCAGAATCACACATGTATTCCAACAAACAAGTTTCTGCTATCTTTAATTATATTCAGAGCAACAGAAGATTCCACGATTACAAAAAGAGAACAGAACACTAAAGCTTGGGGATGGCCCTCCTGCCCAGTGGGGGCCAAGTGCTGCTGTGAGAACTGAAGCTCCATTGAAACAAGTTTCAAGCAAAATTAATGTTTCCTTTGAAAAATCTGTATATAATGCTTTTCTCTCTTTTTCTTTATTTTTATCAATATCAAAATTAATTCTTATATCTGGTTACATAATCTGCTTCTTCCTGCTGCCCATATTAATCTCAAGGACAGGACAAGAATGTCATGTCTGAGGCACTCCCTAATCAACGTTCCAGTCTAGGAGAAAGCAGAAGGGTGTTAAGGAGTGCTGAAGGGACTCTTTTTTTAGCTTGGGCAATCCCAATGGTGACTTCTCTCAGCACCTGAATGGCTTGTGGGATAGGACAACCCCACAGGCACTTCACTGCCAGATAGTTAGCAGCAAGGGCTAAGGTTGAGAGAGACTGCAGGTTTGCCCTTTCTGCCAGGCAGGAAACACAGTCCCAAAGTAGGAAGCATCTGGCAGAGAGGGCACCACCTGAGAAGCAGCAACATTCCCAGAATTTTCTTTTCTGTAGGGTCTGTGTATATTCTGGTCTTTGGTTGCCAATGGAATCTGCACCTATATCACAGCCATTTAAGTAGTGCATGTGGAAACTATTTTAGGCCACATGGGCCATTCAGTCCACAATGTCTCATTTAATTACATAAAGGGCTAAGAGACAAGTGGGATAAGGAATGGAACTGCACCCCTGCTATAAGAATTGGGGCTGGAAACCAATCAAGACATATTGCTTAGTTTTTGGCCAAACCAAGTGGGGATAAATTGAAGCTGAGTCAAAGATGTTTTCCCTTTAAGACTACCTGCTTAGTCCAAATACTTACCATTCACTTTGGTGGGTGGGAACATTTCAAATGTTTTGTTACCTCAGCTGAAGTGTTTGAAGAGGGGTGAATAATGTGGATTTTTTCTGCTTTCACCTAGAAATGGTTAAGCATTGGGAGCCTCTGAGCAACAGACCCCAGTGTCAATCTCTGAATTAAAGAAAAACACCCCTACCTGTGGGCAGAGACAGACCTGTACCTATAGTGATTATTACTTCTAGTTCATTGTCAAATTTTTAACAGAGAAAAGCAGATTTTCATCGTCAAAATCTCTACAGAACATACCCAAACCATAATCAGAGCACACAGACACCCAGTAGCAAGAGCACCTCAATAGCAGGTGGGTAAATTATGGGAAAGATGGAGCACTTGCTCCAGGTTCCCAAGTGCAGTAAACTGCCCCTTTCTCACAAGGATGGAGAAGAACAAAGAATGTCCTTCTGTCTTCAAACTGATCACATCCCAACAAAGAATGTCCTTCTGTCTTCAAACTGCTCAAGTCCCATTAGGGGGCCACTAGCTAATCATTTTGGTGGGCCTTTGACCCCAACTCTGGGCTTTTCTTATAGTAAATCCCAATCAGATCCAATAAGTTTTCACCACCCTTTAAACATTCACTAGTCCCAGGCTAGTAAAGTGCAATACATCATGTACCCTACCATCATGTCCCACTCCTGTTCCTTTATAAGGCCTGTGGGTCAGGCCCCAATAGGGACAGAGATCTCTTAGTTATTTGATCAACCAAGGTGTCTTTTACATTTTGAGAGCTTACAAAATGTAACTGCAGCCTGTCTCACAAGTACATGGTATCATTTGTGACCTGCAATGAAATATAAAGGTGCAGAGAAAGGTAAAGCTATCAGAACACATAATATCTATATACATAATTCAATTTTGAAACATGGATACAAATACTCATTTACAATATATTTCAACTGTCTGCCTTAAACCACAGAGAACTTTTTGTGTCAACTTTTTGTGTCTTCCAAAGTGGGCAGAAATGAAGATTTCTGCCTGCTGTCTTTCTGATGCAAAATCTAGTCTTTTAATGCTCCCTTTCTCAGCAAGGTATTCACATATTCAAATAAGCTAACATGGACACTAGCAAACACAGTGGCCAAGACAGCTCCATTTCCAACCATGCAATGATGGAGCTTTAAAAATTTGCTCAACAACTACTGGAGAGAAGGAAAGCTAGTTCTACTTATAAAATCAGTTAGTGAAGGACCCATAATCTTATTTAAAAAAATTATCTTCCTTACTTCTAAACATGTATATTGTGGGGAGGGGGAGTCCCACAGATCTCTTATAAATCAGTCATCAGCCAAGTCCTTTAGTCTGTCTTTGGATAGCTTACCAAAGAGGCACTAATGTTTAATCCCTCCCTGCCCTTAAAAATATTCGTATCTTAGCAGATACAATGTAATCTTTGGTTATATAATATGATGCTCTCATCTCTTTGTCTTTTTTAAAACATCTTTCAAAGATTTTCAAAGAGATTGGTAATAATAACAGAACTGCCTATAAAAGGCAGTAGGGGTAGAAAGTTCCTTTTACAAGAAATTGCACATGCAAAATGGCTTATTTTGACTTTAACTTTGGGATTCGATCCTGTGCTTTAGCATTTCTGATTCCCATGACTCCCTAAAGGGGGTCAAGCATGAAGGCCACTCCTTTGGCCCAGTGCCTTTTCATCTGTACAACTGGCACAGGACAATAAGTAGTCAACCTCTTACTTTCCAGGGGCCATGCAGGAAACATGCGGGAATAGTTACTGAGTTGTCAGGAGAGAATCTTATAAAATGCTACTGTGGTACAAGTTTGGGAAGGGATAAAGAGGGTAGCTTGGGCTTTTGTACCCTGCCAAATATCAAGGGAGAAAACAAGTCAAGGCCAGGTCTGTGCTATGCTTAATGAATCAAACAGAAGCTACTTGAAGCTCCAGGTTAGGTCATCTGTGTAATGTCAGTATCATGTGTAGGTGGAACTACTTTCTCTTAAAGTACAAATAGAATTCTTTCTGTATATGTATATATGCATTTAGAAATAAAGTATGGACAGAGAGAGACTCTAGCATCAGCACACTATTTCTCAACCCTCAGAAACTATCCAAAGGACAGAGGGACACAGTAAAACTGTTCTTTTTAGTGGCAATGAACATATATAAAATATATGTTACTGATTTTCTTTTTCAGAGATATGACAAAATCCTTCAAAAATCCCTTTCTCATTAAAAAAATAATAAGCTTTACAAGAACAATGGTACTGTCTGTGGCATAGAGAAGCTATGGAACAAAGAATCCAATCCCCATTTCAGCTCAGAGGCCAGGCCTGGGCAAGCTGCCCAATGAACAAAAGCTGAAACTGCCACATGACTCTTCTTTGACCACAGTGTTTGTGACCCTGGCAGCTGTCTGTTGTCCACACAGACAGGGTCTTTTCCCTAGTGTGTCTGTTTTTTCCTCTCTTCCTCACTCTCCATCCCCACTGAGTACTGCAAATCTCTTTGAACATAGCCACTGTGACACGTCTGGTGAGTGATCTTCATCTTCCAGCTCACCAGGTGAGTGGATCTGGGTATCAAATCCTTCAAAGGTGAGCACAGTATACCAACCATGTCAACTCTGTTTGTAGAGCAGAGTGCATACAAAATGAGACTTCTGTCATTTACATTGCCTGGAACACAAATGGCCAAAAACAAACAAACAAAAAACACAAATCCTTCCTTCATCTGTGGGATAATAAAGCCAAGCTAAAATATTTCCTCTCATAGAATCCCCAGTGCAAAAACAGTAGGCTTAAGGCCTTGTTTAGGCTGTTTTTCCCTTGTCTTGCCATTTGGAAATTTGGAGTAATCCAGTTGTTGCTGTTTTTAATTACACTGATTTTTCACTTTCACAAGTAAAAACATATATATGTATGTGTGTGTTCATAAGGACAAGAGTCACAATTGAGAAATCTCTAAAGATGAAAAATTTGATAGTGAGAGAAATGGAAAGGAGAGCCTATAGTCTTTACAAGGAGAAGTATTAGAATGATATCATCAAATCCATGTACCACAAAAGATTAAAATAATTTCAAAACATATGTAAAGGAATTATTAAAATGTAACCTAGTTTAACTGAAAAAAGTGGTATATTTTTCCTGTTTAAAATAGCTAAAAGTGATCCTGTGAACTTATATAAGTCAAATGGTGTCATAACAAAGAAAACCATATTTTGTCTATCTTATGCCAGAAAGAGAACCTGTCAGCTTTAGTTTTACCCAGCAGTCTGGGATTGGTATATCACCCATCTTAGGTTCCCCTCTCCCTTGTTATTTAAAGAAGCTGTTTTGCAAGTTCTTTTGGCTATTAATACCAATACAGAAATCAGGGGAGGAAACCCATGTAGATCATATCATATCACTCAGAAAGTATCTCAACAAGTAAAGTGAACCAACCGAAATGGGCAGTTTGTTGACTGCCTCCTAATTTCTTGAGTTTAGCAGTTGAATTTAAGAGCTAAGTTAGGAGGCAGTAGCTAAGATGAGAAAGTAGATGAACATTCCCTCTGCACTTCGGTTTGGTGGACAAAGTCAACAGAACAGAGGTGTGCCAAAGAACTATATGAAACCAGTGTCCCAGGAACACAGCCTGAGTTCATGGGTGGCAGCTCACTGGAGCCACATCAACCAGAACTTTCCAAAGGAGGCCATAGTTCTGTAATGTCAATGTTTCAGCTTCCCTCCGGCTGACAGGCAGCAACATAGGTGGAGAGTCTGAGTGAGGTGGCCAAAGTCAGAGCCCAGAATCAGCAGCAGAGGAGGAGGATGAATAAACTCACCAGATGGTACCCATCTGGCTTTAAACTTTGCCTCTGAAGACTTTAATTTAGTAGTGAGTCTCCTCTTGGTTTCTTTTCTCCTCTTCCCATGACTTCTGCAAGTGGATATGCTGGGTGGCAAGGAGAGCACTTACAGGGTTTCTGGTCCTAGTGCCTTCATTCTTCCCAGCCTGATAGTTGAACTTTCTCTTTAACCCTAATCTGGGTAGCCATGTTAGCTGTTCTAAAGGAGAAGGTGGGCATTTATCCACTTGGTGGGAAAGTACCATCTTTGAGGGACAAGGGCAAGTCGCCCAGCTTGTGCAATACTGTTGACACCTTCTTTCCAGTTTGTCTGAGGGTTCCAGAGAAGATCTGATAGTTGATAAGAGATATTGATTAGAAGTCTTTGAGTCTATTTGCATCTAGGGATAAATGTTAAGTCTGCTTGTTTGCTAGCCTTCTTGGTGGTGAAGACTCTTAGCAGTCTGTGTGAACATGCCTAGAGAAGTACACAAGCTTCACCACTGTGGCTGGTGAAGTTCGGGCCCACAAAACACTCAAGGGAGGGTGCAGGGATCTTGCAAGCTACACAGAGTCAGGTTGAAAGCATTCAGGTTTTTCAAAGGTGTAAAAAAGGGAGATTAATTCTTCAGTGTCCTAAGTGGAGAAGAGCCAAGCCACTACTTCCTTCTCCTCTGATGGCAGCCACAAGTTCCTCCTTGGCCCATAAATGGGAAAGCACACCTGGATCTGAATGGGGCCTTCCAAAGGATAAAATCTTTCTTCTTTCTCACTGGTCTGACTCTTCACTGGAAGTGGCCAAGTTTTAGCTAAAGAGAACATTTGTTCAAAGTTCTTAGAAAAGCTTTTTAAAGTTAATTAGAGGGTAGAAGAGGGTAAAGGAGAGGAAGATTGGGATGGGGGAGGCCATTCACATGCAGACAAGTTTTCAAACAAGAAGGACATTTTTAGTACAATGAATTGCACTGCAGTTGAATCTAGATGTCAGAGACCAACACTGTGGTCAAGTAGTGGTGATTTAGCTGTCTTCTTTGACCGTCTTAAATCTGTCTCTCCCCTCCCCCCATTCTGGGGTCACCCTGCCCTCTAATGGCAATAGCTATTGGCAGAAAGTAAAGTGTTGGAGGGAGGGTTTGGGAAAAAAGCAGTGACTCCCCATGGTCTCGTAATGTTCACTTTATTCTAGTCACTGTTAGCTTTTTGGGAGGGTTGTTTTTATATTTTTAAGAGGAATAATATTCTAGCAAGTTTTTTTGGTTTTGTTATTTTTTTTGTTTTAGTTTTTGTTCTCCCAGATACTCTTAGGTCTCTAAACTTCCCATGGTGTTAGATGAGTAAACGTTTGTGTAGCTGGCACACAGCACAGTGTGCACTTGCAAGTATGGCACTTGCTATAAACAAGTACAACTTGACACTGGGCCACATGAGGATCATCACAGATTTCAAGAAATACAACACCATTCAAAACAGAGATAAGAGCCATGGCAGGGAGCAGAGTCTCAAAGTGCTATGGGGGGTGGTGAGATAGGGAGGAAGAAAAAGAAAGGAGGAAAAGAGGGGAAAAAGCCTAGCAAATAGAGCTCAGGAACAGGCTATACATCAATAGAGGAAATTCTCCAAGGCACAGCAGAGAAGTAGTGCAGCGTTATAACAGGCAGAGAATATCTGAAAAAGGGAGTGGGGTTGGGTGAGGAAATGGGGGCTTCCAAAGCTTCACTGAGTGTGGAAATAGATGGGCTTGACTTTTCCAGAAAGGATCTTGGGCACTTGCACAGAGATGATCTCTGCCATCATTTCTGGGAAGTCCACGCTCACCATATGAGACTTGATTAGCAGGTCAAAAGTGAACTGATGCAGTTCTCGTGCAATCTGTAGGGGGATAATAAGAGATTGAGAATACAAGAAAACAAGGTTGTTAAGGAGTTGGCTTAATCAGGCTCTTACCCATACCTTTGATCTGCTCCTCTTTCCCTATCTCTGGTTGTGTGTGTGCATGCACACACATGCACATGTGCACTAAATGGCCTTCAAGGAGTCACTGAGAGCTCCCAAGGGATTACTTACACCATTGTAAACTCTCTGACTCATGACTAAGTATTCCTCTTCCCTAGGGCTCATGCTCCTGTTTGCACGCTCTTTCTTTCTTTCTCTCTCTCTCTCTCTCTCTCTCTCTCTCTCTCTCTCTCACACACACACACACACACACACACACACACACACACTCACAAACAAAAACTGCTCACACATAAAAACTCACACACACGACTCGAGGAAGAGCAGAATAGCAGCCGGGTCTGTTTTGTCTGCTTAGAGAACTTATCTTCTCTAAGCCCTTTCCCTGAGTCTCAAATGCTCTGTTCTCTTCTCCTCCACTTCTTTCACAACATCCAGCTGGGACATTGTGACCTGTGTTCCTTTTCTCCATTGCATTTTCTTCCTGGACCACACTCACAGCCAGAGGGTAATGGAAGCACCTCCCAACAGGTGGTGCCAGACCCTAGAAGAACATATAATCATTTGGCTCTATCAGGCAGCTCTCTCTGACAAAGCACCCTCCATCATTTGCTTACAGGCTGCACAGAATCCAGGAGCTTGGTGAGCTGGTAGAAGCGCCTTGAGCAGGATGTGGGATTTTTTCTCTTGCATGCAATGATACGATCAAGTTCCTTGATGTAGTTCATTCGAAGTTCATCAAAGAATTTTTGATTTTTCAGCCCATCCACTGGAACTGATGTGGGATGAAGACAGAATGGGGAGGGGAAGCATGCCCACAAGGAGCATTAGACAAAGCACCAAGTTTTCTGACCACACACTTGACCCCCACCCCCAGAGGGAGGGAATCATCTACTTGGTTTCCTGTAGTTGAAGTCTGAATGTCTTAGGGAAAAGGCTAGCTGGACTCAACTTGAAGGGCATCAAGTAATACAATTTACAGAGCCTTTCCTTTTTCAGGTCTTCTCACCTACACATTTCTTAGGGCCTATGGTTTTATGTTATCCACAGTGAAGCTCTGATTTAGACAATTAACACACATAACTTTGAATATCAAATTTTGATTTGTTTTGCCTCACAGAGGCTAACAAAGCATTCTACTTAGAAGACACATTAAAAACATTCCTTGGCTGCCAAATAAGCCCTGTCTGAGTTACTTACATATACCTTCTCATATTGGCAGAAAAGGAAGTTCCTTCTAGGAGGCAATCCCTTTTGCCCTACAAAAAATACAAAGTAGTCCTCACCTATTCCTACGATAAAAGGTGTGAAAAAATTCAGAGGTCTGCTGCAATCACCCAAAAAAGCTTTGTCCCAGAGGGAGCCTCGGGGTAGATGGAAATCTAATGGAGAATGAATTTTAGCAGTGAAATTGGTCTGTAGCTAAGAAATGTATTCTCGTTAGGAAAAATGATGCTAAGGGAGAGGGGTACAGGAAGAGTGAATGAAGAAGGGCAATGTTCAAGAGCTGATAACCCTTTAATGAAAAAAGCAGCTCTTCTCTGCATTCCTAAGCCCCCAGGGGCATTCCCTACCCTCTAGGCACTTACTAATGCTGAAGAGGAGCAGTGCCTTCATGCAAAGGAATTCCTGGGGGGTGATTTGGAGCCATCCAAATTCTTGAGAAAGGTGCCTCATTCGGACACACTGGCTGTACATCCGGGACTTGTGCATGCGGTACCTGAGAAACACAACACAGAGGAAGGAGAGAAATGAGAGAAGGCTTACAATAAGCCCAGGGATCTTTGGTTGCCATCTCTTCCACAAGTTCTCCAAGAAGAGCTTAGTGTTTGTCTTCTGGTGATTCAGTGACTAGAAAAATGTTCCCCACCTCCCAAATCCTGACATCCTGATAACTACTCATCTTCCCTGGCCAGGATATGGGTTAGCACATGGAATTTCCAGGTTCCTGTGCCCCTCCTGTTTCCTGTGACAAGGACAGGAAAGTCTAACCAAATGAACAGAATGGGCCTGGCACATGGTCTCCTGGATATTTCTAATATCCCAGCTACAGCCAGAGCCAGAACCTGCCTCCCAGGCATCCCAAATTGGAGGATTTCTAGGAGATAGGCTTTATAAATCAACTCTTAATTTATGGACACCAGGATTTCCAAGTGACTACAGTAGTTTATCCCGTCAATTTCCCTGCCTCTTGGCGTGAAAGCCATTTCTCATGGTAGAAATTTAAATATTTCTTTAAACATTTCTAAAGAAGGAGATTCCCCATTGTCTCTTTCAAATGAGTTACAATGCTTGTAAAATCATCCAGGAAGTGTTTCTGAATGTTCAATCTAAATTTCCCTTGCTGTGGGGCATCCTACTCATTCATATATTATCTGTTTCTTACCACAGTTTGGGAGTTACAAACAGTGTGAGCTGCTTTCATTATAGTGACTTGTGAACAGATCACTACATTATCACCTATAAATTATATAAGGAAGTGGCAAAGCCTTGGACAGATTCTCAGAGGGAGCCAACTTTCTGTCCCATGACTGACTATAGCAAGTCTGTAAAGAGAAGATACAACATCCTCCTGCTAGTAGGCCTTCCTGGTTTTCAGCATTTCACAAATTGTGTGTGTGTGTGTGTGTGTGTGTGTGTGTGTGTGTGTGTGTTTGTGTATGTGTGTGTGAGAGAGAGAGAGATTGTATCTTGTGGAATTTGATGAAAAGGGAATTTAAAACAAAAACCTCTCAGATTGGGCCTGAAAGCTGTGGTTTAACATTTTGGTTTCCAAACCACTAGCATAGTCCATAGCCTGAGCAGCCATGGCACTGGCTGAATAGAAGCTCAATACTCTATCTCAGAGAGATCTTGGCTGGCATGAAGAAAGAGTGAAGGGGGCAGATGGTGTAGAAATATTCAATTCATGCTGGAGCTCAATTGGAAAGAGGAAATATTTAGGTAGTATCACAAGTCATTAGACCAGAACAGCGTTGCTCCAAGCTGTTTCAACCTAGAGAATTTTTGAATAACATCTGCTGACCCTGGGGCCTAGGCCTGTTCTGGTCTCTATTGTACTTCCAAGCCTCTGTCGATGACAACACTGCAGTCTTTTTATCTATGACTGAAATTGTGTTCCTGACATGGGGAACTACTGTAACAGTGCTTCAGGCCCCAGGGACAGAAAATTTTGGGAAATTTGGGAAGAAAAGGGAGAAAGGCAACAGAAGAAATTCAGAGGAAAAAGGAACAAGAAAGAAGAAAAAGAATGAAGAGAGATTTACCAGGAAGGAAAGGGATTAGAGAGTGCAAGGTAGAAAATAAGGGAGCAGGAATGGAATTCAGAAGGAAAACATGGGTAGGTAGGAATACAGGAGAGTAGATAACAGGGGGGATGAAAATTGAAGAGCACTTAGTAAGTGCTCAGTAAATGACATGTAGGAAGGTACCATTATCATACTACTCATCATTCAAAGGATGAGAAGGTTGAGATTCAAGAAAGTTTAAATTTTTACCCAAGGTCATACAGCTACAGTTCAAGCTCATTACCCTCACATATGTCTCCCACAAAGAGGGCAGGAAGAAGGAAGAATGCACAGCTGATGACAGGGTTTGGTGACAGAGAGATAAGCAAATGAGTTGGCCCAGAATCCTTGTCTCTCTTTTTGGGTCTCACTCTCTCCATTAGTAGTACCTTAAGGAGGCTAACAACAATTAGTGACTCTCAAATGGAGAAATACTGCCTCTCTAGGGGGTGCTAAAAATGTGCCAAGGCACTTTAGGCTGTCACAGTGACTGGAATTCTATTTGGTATTAAGTGGCTAGGTGCCAGGAATGTTAAACATATTCCAATATGTGGGTACTTCCTATGCAATGAAAAATGATTTTTCTAAAAATGTCAACAGCATCCCTGTTGAGAAATAGATGTTTGTAAGAATGCAAAGAGCTTTAACATGGTGGGCTCCTACAGAAGAAGGGAGCACCTATTGTTTCAGAAGCTCTAGGGCTTGGTGGGTCTAGCACCCTGTGGGTACTCCTGTGGTACCTTTTGATTAAATACATGAGAGTGGACTGGAAAGCTAAGAAGGATTTAGAAACTACTCAATTATCATTTTACAAAGGCCTTAGGGCATTGAATGGGGAGGGTATTGCAGGTACCCAAGAAGTTGATTCAACCACTGGAGGGCAGCAGGAGGATAGGGGTGGGAGATGAAGAGGAATGATTTTTTTAAAGGCCTGCCCTAGAAGGTGACATCATGGGTAACTCTTTGGAGATCTGGAAACCACAAAGCAGGTTGTGCCAAAAGACCAATGGTTATACTTAGCTTCTGGCTATCAGGGCTGGCTAAGTTGGAAGAGGGTAACTGGGGATGCTTTTTTCCCTCTACATGACACTGCTGTACTAGAAGGAACTACTGGCCTGTATAATTTATTTTAAGGTTCTTCTCAGTTAGAGGGCTGGAGGGGAGGGAAGGTCAATTCTTACCCTGACCAAAGGGATTCTCTGTGGTGAGACTAGTTCACGGTGCTCAGGAAGATTTTCCTGACTAGGTCCATTTACAATATCATCAAGAGATCCCAAACAGAAGAAGTAGAGAAGAGTACCACTAATAGAGATAACATCAGAAAGGTATTTCTATTTTTTAATAAATTTATTGTCCATTATGGCCCAGATACTTCATACGCATTAACTCCCATTTTAGCCATCAGAACAATCCATTTGAAAAAGTTCTATTTTGCTAACCAGTGAAGAAACAGGGTCATAGAAATTAAAGGCCCTGCCCAGAGACAATTATGTAAAAAATAATAAAATGGATTTTAGTTGAGAAAAGTGTAATTTCAAAATCTGAGCTCTTGGATAAATTTATGAAGGATAAATAGAACTGGTGGCAGAGCAAGCATTAATTAAACCTGGTTTCAAGAAACGATAAGTGTCCGGGCCATAGTCACATGGTCAGAGAGTGGTAGAGCATCTCCTTCCCATTACTACCCACCATGAAGCAGTATAAGAACTGGGAGTTACACAGACATACTTTGAAATTTGTCACCAACATGCACTAGCTGTCTAATCTTGGGTGAGCCACTTTATTTTGTTGAGCCTAATTTTTCTCATTCATTAAAATATTATCTATAAAAAGGGAAAATCAAGTTGTCATGAGGACTGAATGAGAAAAAATTTAGAAAGTATCTAGTATAGTCCTAGCATAAAGGAGTTGCAAAACAAATGGTGACTGGCAGTAGACCTTGGTGTAGCAAAAGGGACCAAAGGAACTTCAGCCTTCACAACTAGAGTTTCTATGCCCAATCCCTATGTTGCTCAGAGTGAAGGGGAAGGACTTTGATAGGAGGTTTTGAGATAAGTTACAAAGCAGGCCAGAAACATAGCCAAAATACCAGGGTTGAATCTTGGGTGGGAAAGGGATGGCCTCAGTACTGAACCCTGTGATCTCTTACTAGTTAGCCTTCTGGCCAGGCAAAGCCCCTTAGATTGTGCAGGCTGACTGGATCCCCTACTGCCTCTCTTAAAGGTTAAATGGTCTAACCACCACTGTTAGTACCATCATTACCAACAAACAGGTTTGGGCAGGAAGCTGAGTTTATGTGAGTTCTTGGCCTATCAGCACTTACTCATTGAAAACGAGGTCAGGGGCAAAGTAGAGCATCCTAGAGTTGACATTGGTAAAGGACCTCCATCCCATGGCAAACACCATAAGCCCCATCCACGAGTACTGAATGACTGCCATCTGGTCATCCACGTGCAAGTTGCGGAAGCCTGGAGATAAGGAAGAGACCATGGTTAGACTGGGCAATGATGGGCCGGGTGAAGTCTGAGCCTCTACTGTCCTGAGAATCTCTGGCACTCAGGCAACCTAGGAAGAACCCCAGAAGCCATCAGTACTGGGGAGGAGGGGGAAACAAACTATATGGTGGGAATAATATTCCTTGCCTTCTCTACTTTACTGAGTTGCTCAAATGGGAAAATGATGGAGGCAAAAAGGATATTGTCACTTGGAAAAGAATAATGTAACACTTACTGACTGCTTTCAATGAACACACTCTTTCTAAGCCTGTTACTTATATTAACTCATTTAAACTTCACTACAATCCAATAAAGCAAGTACTATTATTATCCTCATTCTGTGAATCAGTAATAGTGAGTCACAGAAAGGTTAAGGAACTTGACTAAGATTATAAGGTTAGTAACTGGCAGGTCAGGGTCCAAAGCCAAGCAGTCTGACTCCAAAGCCTGTGCTCATGATCTCTATGCCTTTCTGAAGATTCAGTGTAATAATAATTTCTCTCACATGAACAACACTATTCACTTTATAAAGCTGTTTTCTAGTGATAATCTTTATTGACTCTCTAACTATCCTGGGAATGGGGTATTATTACATATCAGCATATGGTGAAAGTGTTTGACAGCCACTGCCTTCTCCACACCATCTTCAGGCTCTTTTTTCTGACCCTCTCTCTGACTCCCACTTTCTATTTTTTTTTTTGTTCAGCAAGTACCCTGGCCCTAATAGTTTCTGACTCCACTGCCATTCCTGCCTTACTGTTATTATACACAAGCAAGATCTTCATGACCTGCCTCCTTAGACTAATTTCGTGCCATTGTCTTCTCATAATCTAGGTTCTAGATATTCTGAAAAACTTCCAATTTTCTGAACACAACATGCTTTCTCATGTCTTTATATCTCTAAACAGGTAGTTGCTTTTGTCTGAAATATATTCCTCCTTCCCTAGGCTTCCCATCTGATAAACACCTACTCAGCATTCAAGTCTTCACTGAAAGGCTACCTCCTCTGTGAAACTTCCTAATTCATCTAAACAGAAAATTTAATAAATTTTCTTTACCTTATAACTGAACCTTGTGTAGCCCTACCTAATTATAGTACTCATTACACAATATTGGAATTTATCTATATATACATCTATCTCCTCCACAAGAGTTGGGGAGCTTCTTGAAGACAGAGACCATCTCTTATTCATCTTTTCTTCCCTGGTACATAACACAGTTCAGATATTTGAGTAGGCATTTGAGACATTTTAATTAATGGACTAAGGACCTTCAATTTTTTTTCATTTTATAAAATGGGATGATCTCCAAATTTAAACTCAGAAAACAGTTTCCCAGATGCTACCTCTACAATACCACATAGGTAGGACAGATATGGTTATGTTATCCTAGAGGTTTCTAAATAGCTGGACACTTAAACCACCATCTCAGAGCTTGTCCCCTATCAGCATCCCATTTCTCTTCTCCCCTACCAGATCCATAATTATCTGAAATTCTGTCTTGCTATATCTTGTTAGGAATGCTTCCATGAATTTTGATAATGTTTCTAACTTTCCTGTTGATAACCTCATCAGACCCTCACAAGAACCCCAGAGAGTAGGTGTTGTGACACTTACTTTAGTAACAAAGAACCTGAGGGCAAGAGAGGTTAACTGATTCACCCAAGGTTATATATTCTACATATGGCTGAACTGGTACTAGTATAGGGGTGTTCAAAGTCTCTCATCTAGTGTTTATTCCACTCTACTGCTGAAAGACATACCTCAAGAGCTACTGAGGACATGAGCTTTTCTTAGCTATAGACTCTGGCCTAAAGTCTACAATGTGTAGACACATTGTTCTGTTTGGTTGGTCCTTTCCTACCCACATACCCCATTTCCCTTTTCTTTTAGGTTCTAAGGCTATCAGATATCAGGAATTCTAGAATCCTTCACACCACCATCCTTGGCTGCAATTGGAGCTCCCCGGTCTGTGCCCTCCATCTTCCCCATAGTACTATGCTGACAGACTAACCGGAGTCTCAGATTCCAGAATATTTCCTCACAGAACCCCCAGGACAGAATGCCTTGTACTGATTCTTCCCAGTGGGACAAAAGAAAAAAAAAACACCAAAAAATGCAGGAGCCAATCATGGAACATCCAGGGATCTCCTGAGGAGGGTACTTGAGAAATCAAACTCTGAACCTCTGGGGTGGGAGGCAATGGGAAACAAGCAAAGCCTTGGCTAGTGAGTGTGTGAATGTGAGGGTGCATGGGGGTTGAGAATTAAACTGTATAAGTATCAATGAAACTGTCTATACCGATGCTTCATTTTTCCTCCCTGAGATGCCAGAGAACTAACAAAGAGGAGAGAAATGGAGAGCTTAGTTTGGCTGTAACACTAATTAATGGTCCTTAGTTACAGCAGCTTACAACTCAAGCCTATTTACTGTGTATACATCAGCAAAATAGTAGGCCAATTTTCCTATAGGTCTGATCTGGTTATAATACCTAACTTTGTTCTCTAATGTCCAGCCTTTGTCTATGCTGCTCAGAGAGCATAACTATCAAGGGATGACTTGTGGAAATAGTAGCTCCAGCTTACAGGTTTCCTTACACACCCACACACTCAACACCTATTTGGCACTGTGTTAAGCTGTTACAAAGAAATAAAGAGGAGTCACTTTCAGGTTTCTAAACACACAAAACAGGTTTGAAAGCAAAGGCAGTTTCTTTGAGACTCTGTTTCCTCATTAGAATCCAATGAACATCATTTGTTAGCAATCTGGAGTGGAAACCTGTAGTCTCATGTCTTGTTAGGGGGCACATGACCAAAGAAAGGCCAGTTAGGAAATCTATGCTACTGTAGTGAACTGGACAGTCAACATCTTCAAGGAAGACAATTCATCCTTGAGATCCATGAATGGGCTATGAGTCAAGGCTGGTAGCAGCTTAAATAGACTTTAGTGAAAGCAGTGGCTTAGCACTCAAGCCTCACTGCAATGACCAACCATTTACAGAGCATCTACTGTTTCAGATACTGTACTAGGGGCTCTTTATACATAATTCCTATGTTCATAACAACTTGCAAAGTAGAGATTGTTCTCCCACCTCTACAAATGAGGAAACAGAAGCACATGTAGGCATGTGATTTGATCAATGTCAAACAACTAGTGTATAGCTAAGATTTGAAACCAGATACACCTGATTATATACTGATTATATACACATTATCTACTCACCCACCCTCAATCAATAGTTATCATTTGTTAATGTACTAGGTACTCTACTAGGCAATTTACATATATCACCACTGTCACAGAAAACTTACAACAAAATTTATCTGAGTAGGTGCCCAGTATAGTGCCTAGTATAGGAAAAGAACTCAATCTGTTGAGTGAGCAAATAACTTGAGCTATTAGGTGATTATTGATAATATAAATAACAGGTATTATGAACTGGTAATTGGCCTTTTTGAAACTATTCTTTTAAATGACTTAGGGTCACATATTATTTCATTGGATAAACTAGATGGTGAACTGATCTGATATTGTCTTGCAGACTTGTTAATGTTGGAGAGGACTTCCTATCCTGGGGGTTGGGCTAAGGAAAACGAGTGACTCCTAGTCATATAAATTCTGCCAAAATGATTTGTACTACATTATTTTTAAGACCACCAAATTAGAAATCAGAGGGTGTGAGCCCAAGTTTTGGTTCCATTTGTTAAGTAACTAAGTTGAACAACTTGGTTAACCTCTCTGAGCCTAGTCATTTGAAATGGATATAACAGTCCCTATGATTCATAGAATTGTTATGAGGATTAAGTGGAATCATACATAGGACAAGGTTCTGTATCTGATAAAATGGGATAATTTAGGTGTTTGGCAACTGCTCAGAAAGATTAAACTGAATCTCTGTTTCACAAATGATAACCAGCTAAGTAAGTGAGAATTAAAAAAATTTTCTCTTTTTTTAATTGTTATTCTCTTACAGTTATCCCCATTTCTCATCCATTGCTCTCCCCTGTCCTGCCCACCCTCCACTCTCACAGTCAACCCCACCATGGTCCATTACCATGAGTCCTTTAAACATGTTCCTTGACCTTTCTCCTTCTTTTCCCAGTTTTCCTTCTGCCCCATCCCCTCTGATCCCTGTCAGTTTGGTCTTTATTTCCATGTCCCTGGTTTTATTTGCTCTTTTGTTTGTTTTGTTCATTAGATTACACTCTTGTGAGATCATACAGTATTTATCTTTTGCCACCTGGCTTATTTCACATAGCATAATACTCTCTAGTTCCCTCCATGCTGTTGTGAAGGGTAGGTTCCTTCTTTCTTTCTGCTGCATAGTATTCCATTGTGTAAATGTACCATAGTTTTTTATTTTTTTGTATTTTTCCTCCTTGTGTGAACATTCTGTTTTGGCACAGTGCCAAAGTCCTTGAGCCTTCTTCCCAGTGATCTTATTGTCTAGTCAAACTCAGCTTCCAGCTTCCCAAGCTGGGAAGGTGTTAGGGATGGTCTAGTAGCTGCGACTGGGCCTTGTGAGTTGCAAAGACAAAATAGGGGTTTGGTGACTAACATGCAATATCTTCAAATGCAGTTAGTCTGTATTAAGATCCAGGTGATCTTGGGTAAGGCCTTGGCCTCTCACTGTGAAGCCCAGTGTTACAAAACTACAGGACTAAATGCACTATGGATGGAGTGGGATGAGGAAGGGAATCAAGAGGTGGACCTGGGCTAAAGTTTTGGCCCTGCTGTGTACTTGTAGGCCAAGCATATCATTTCTCAGCACTTCAGTGTCTTTTATTTATAAAATGGGTGGTGGAAGGAGGATCCCTACTTTAGGGAATTTTTATGAGGATCAAATTGGGTAATACACTTGAAACTACTCTGTTTTCTATCTATAAATTTCCTGAATGGCAATTATTATTAGGAGGCATGTTGATCTTTCATTCCAAAAAAATTGGATTGGTTGTCGATGTTTCAAAATCCTTGAATCATAGAGTTTTAGGATTAGGAGAACTCTTGCAGAGCTTATGTTTCACTGGTCTCCAAACTGTAATCCTTGGAGTCCTAAGATTCTGCAAGAGTAACTCAAGGCTTCTCTGTGTGTAGTGAGGAAGAGTCATTAGTTTTAAATTAACCGCTCTATTTGCATCTGTGCATGATAATTTCAGAAATAAAAAGTTTGGTTGCTAAAGAAAAGTCTGTGAATACTTGCACAGAGGATGGTTGAGCACTAATATTTTAATAATCAGTCCTGTTCCAATAACAGATGGCCAAGGGAGAAAGTGAGTTCCCCATCACTGGAAGTATTTAAGTGGAAGTTAGACAAAAATTTTGTATTTCTTTGATTACCAAGGAATTCACTGAATATTTCCTCCTTCTATCATTCCTAATGTTTTTAAAAGAGCACTAAAGTTCCTTACAGAAAAGTTTGAAAAACATCAATTTAGTCCAAATCACTCTTCACACATGATCCAGATGGAGAAACTGAGACCCGGAAAGGGAAAGGGCCACAGAATGATTTACAAGCAGAACTAAGACTAGAACCCAAGTGTTCCGACACCCAACCACATGTTCTTTATACATACCATCTCATAAATATTCTCATGATATGGCTCCTAAAGATAATATTGAAGATAGAATATCAGTCAGGCTCAAAATTATCTTTGGGGTGAGCATATGTGTGCATATGGAGAAGAGCATCTTAAGGCATATAAAGGTTATGTCTCTATGATCTATAATTATGGGGAAATTTTCATGCTATGATCGCTGTGTGCTGATATGAGGTATATGGGACACTGTATAATGCTGCTCTACTCACTGATTTCTGAGTTTCCTTATTTTTAAAGTAGGGATTATAGCATTCTCTACTCCCATAGGGTAATGGTGAGAATTGCATGAGTTAATTAGCAGGGAAGGATCAGACATGGTATCTGCCTGGCTCATAGGGACATTCACTAAATATTATTGTCCTTATCCCACACCCCCACTCTGTTTTCCTTACCAGGCAAGGCCTTGGCCCACTTTACCACATGCACAAGCTGCCTTTCACCCAGTTCATTGAGGCTAGACAGCAAGGCTGCGAAGGAGTCGGGCTGGTTGTTGTCATGTCCAGCACACACCACGCCTGGTTCAATGGCTTCCAGGACATTCAGAAAGATAGGCTGACACTCATAGCCTTCAATATGTGACACTGCAAGCTTCTGGGTTGGCTCCTCAGTGGGGCTATTGGCGCTGGAAACTTCCCCTTCCTCCTGTAGTTTCAGATTACCAAGTTTCTTCAGTTTCCGAGCTATTGGGAAGAAATGGAATCTTGGATTTATTATCAGTGGCCAAAACACACAGCACAGCTACCCTGTTAGAAAACCTATCTGAGCTAAGAAAATAAGGGTGTTCATTATTTCTGGTCAGAGATTTTAAACTCCTTAAGGATGAATGCTCAGTATTACCCTGGTTGAATGAATGGCCCATCATCCCAAATCCCTACTAAACTCAAATTTCATGTCTTCCTTTCTACCCAGTTGCCTTGCCAGACAGACCTAGTATATCTTTGGATTAGGCTCTGCATCAATGCAGTCTTCAGTATTCATACCTTGAACCTTCAATTAAATAGTTTACTAATATAGTTACAATTCATTCATTCAACAGATATTCAAAGTTAAGCTTTTTCTTCTGGATGACAAAAAGGACATAGGACCTAACCCTGTCTGGTACAGGAGAAATTACTACCCATCAGCAGTTAAAATGTCAAATGAGTAAATGTTACAACAAAAGTATTAACAAAAAAGACAATAATCTATCTGCAGAGGTGGGGTCAAGAAAGGCTTTATGATAACATCTGATTTGAACCTTGAAAAATAGTGAGGAGTTTACAAGGCAGAGAAGAGTGGAAAAGCATAAACAAAAACACCAAGGAGTGTTTGGGGAAAATAGAGACCAGTGTGGCTGGAGTATATATTGCATGTGTGGAGAGAGAGAGACAGTGGCTTTTTAGGAAGCTGAAAACAAAGATGAGACCTGAGTTTTAAAGAGCATGTATAACATGTTAAGAAGCTTGGGCTTCACCAGGAGAACCCTAGAGACTCCACCCCACCCAATTTACAGGCCCACCTAAGATGCTTTTCCATATGGCTGGTCTTGGCTCCTGCTTCACAACTTAAATCCTCTCAACAAAGCAACAGCTGGCTACAGTAAGCATGAGGCCCAGCACTAGATGCAGCTAGCCTAGATTCACAGCTCAGGTTCACCTGGAAATCTCCAAGCCCAGCACAAGTAACAGCCATTTGAGATTGCTCTGTATCTCAGGCAGGGTGACCCAGAGAAAAACACAGGTGGGGGCTGACCTTGGCCTGCACAACCCAGGAAATCCCAGTGCCGGCACACCCAGTGCATAGCTACAGACCATATCAGAGCACCAAAACCTTGCCCCTGCACAGCTGATCCTCCACAGAGGGCAGATGTTGGTGGTCAGTGGTTATAGCCAATCCTTGCAGCTGAATGGCCTGGGTAAATCCCTCCAGTTAACCTGCCAACATTAACCAAGGCTCAACTACAGGAGGAGGCTGTACTGCTGGACCCTACAGAACACCTATTGCGTTAGGCCACACTACCAAGACACAGAGTCAAAACAGTTCTCCTAATACATAGAAACAAATATTTTCTATGTTTGTTTGTTAAACAAACATTTAACATTTCATATAATGAGGAGGCTGCCAAAATGAGGAGACAAAGAAACATGGCCCAAATGAAAGAATGGATCAAAATTCCAGAAAAAAGAGCTAAGCAAAATGGAGATAAACAATCTATCAGATGCAGAGTTCAAAACACTGGTTATAAGGATGCTCAAGGAAATTAGCAAGGAAGGACCTCAGCAGCATAAAAAAGATCCAATCAGAAATGAAGGAAACACTAATTGAGATAAAGAACAATTTACAGGGAAGCAACAGTAGAGTGAAGCTGAGAATCAAATCAATGATCTGAAACATAAGGAAGCAAAACACAACCAATCAGAACAACAAGAAGAAAAAAGAGTCCAAAAAACAAGGAAATTAAGCAGCCTCTGGGACAATGTCAAGAGGTCCAACATTCAAATCATAGGGGTGCCAGAAGGAGAAAAGGAAAAGCAAGAAATTGCAAATCTATTTGAAAAAAATAATGAAAGAAAACTTTCCTAACTTGGTGAAGGTAATAGACATGCAAGTCCAGAAAGCAAGAGAGTCCCAAACAAGATGGATGCAAAGAGGCCTACTCCAAGACACATCACAATTAAAATGCAAAGTTAAAGATAAAGAATCTTTTTATTTATTTATTTAAAATATATTTTATTGATTATGCCATTACAGTTGTCCCATTTCCCCCCCTTCATTCCCCTCCACCCTGCACACCCCTCCCCCACTATACCTCCCTTTAGTTTATCTCCATGTGTCACAAGTTCTTTAGCTTCTACATTTCCCATACTATTCTTGCCCTCCCCCTGTCTATTTTCTACCTACTGTCTATGCTACTTATTCTCTGTATCTTCTCACCCCTTCTCCTCTTCCCACTCCCCTGTTGCTAACCCTCCATGTGATCTCCATTTCCATGGTTCCATTCCTGATCTAACTGTCCTCTTACTTTGCTTTTGTTTTAGGTGTGGTTGTTAATAACTGAGTTTGCTGTCCTTTCACTGTTCATCTTTTTTATCTTCTTTTTCTTAGGTAAGTCCCTTTCACATTTCATATAATAAGGGCTTGGTGATGATGAACTCCTAGAATTTGACCTTATCTGAGAAGCACTTTATCTGCCCTTCCATTCTAAATGAAAGCTTTGCTGGATAGAGCAATTTTGGATGCAGGTCTTTGGATTTCATGACTTGGAATACTTCTTTCCAGCACCTTCTTGCCTGTAGGGTCTCTTTTGAAAAATTTGCTGACAGTCTGATGGGAACTCCTTTGTAGGTGACTGTCCCCTTATCTCTTGCTGCTTCTAGGATTCTCTCCTTCATTTTAATCTTGGCTGATGTAATGATGATGTGCCTTGGTGTGTTCCTTCTTGGTTCCAACTTCTTTGGGATTATAGGGGTACCAGAAGGGGAAGAGGAAGAGCAACAATTGAAAAACTTATTTGAACAAATAATAAAGGACAACTTCCCCAATCTGGCAAAGGCAATAGACTTCCAGGAAGTCCAGGAAGCTCAGAGAGTCCTAAAGAGAGAATCTTAAAAGCAGCAAGAGAAAAGCAGCAAGTCAACTACAGGGGAGTTCACATTAGACTGTTAGCTGATTTCTCCAAGGAAATTTTGCAGACTAGAAGGGATTGGCAAGAAATATTCAAAGTGATGAAAAGCAGGGACCTAAAGCCAAGATTGTTCTACCTAGAAAAGCTATCATGTGGTATGGAATGGCAGATAAATAGCTTCCCAGACAAGAAAAAAAGTAAGGAGTTTATCACCAAGTCATTATTATATGAAATGTTAAAGGGACTTATTTAAGAAGAAGAGGAAGAGGAGGAGGAAGAAAAAGAAGAAGGTCAAAACTATGGATAATAAAATGGCCAAATACACACACACACACACACACACACACACACACACACACAATTGAATCTAAAATAACAAACTAAGCAAACAAGAAGAACAGACACAGACTCATGGATAGAGAGAGCATTTTGATGATTTCAAGATGGGAGTTAGGTGTGAGGGAATGGATGAAGAGGTGAGGGCATTAAGAAATACAAATAGATCCCAAAGACATATGAAAGAATGCTCAGCATCACTAGCCATCACAGAGATGGAAATGAAAACCACAATGAGATAGCACTTCACACCAGTCAGAATGTCCATCATAAACAAAGCAACAAAAAACAAGTGCTGGTGAGGTTGTGGAGAAAAGCGAACCCTAGTACTTTGTTGGTGGGAATGCAGACTAACGCAGCCACTGTGAAAAACAGTATGGAATTTCCTCAAAAAAGTAAAAATGGAACTGCCTTTTGATCTGGCAATTCCACTGCTGGGATTCTACCATAAGAATCCTGAAGCACCAATTCAAAAGAACCTATGCCCCCCCATCCCATGTTCATAGCAGCATTATTTATAATAGCCAAGTGTTGAAAGCAACCTAAGAACCCATCAGTAAATGAGTGGATAAACAAACTGTGGCTGGTGTCATTCAGTGGGTTGAGAGCTGGCCTGTGAACCACAGTGTTGATGATTCGATTCCCAGTCGGGGCACATGCCTGGGTTGCAGGACAGGTCAGGCCCCCAGTAGGGGGTGTGTGAGAGGCAACCACACATTGATGTTTCCCTCCCTATATTTTTTCACTCCCTTCCCCTCTGTCTAAAACAAATAAATAAAATCTTTTTTAAAAAAGAAAATTTAAAAAAATGATGATACATTTACACAGTGGAATACTATACAGCAGAATGAAAGAAGGAATTCCTACCCCTCTCGACAGCATGGATGGATCTCGAGAGCATTATGCTAAGTGAAGTAAGGCAGGCGGTGAAAGACAAATACCATATGATGTGACCTATAAGTGGAACCAACCTAATTACCAAAACAAACAAGCAAGCAAAATATAACCAGAGACATTGAAAGAAAGAACAAACTGACAGTAACTAGAGGAGAGGGGGAGGTAAGAGGGGGCTAATGGAGAAAAAAGGGGGAAGGGTTCACAAGGAACATATATAAAGGACCCAGGGACAAAGCCAAAGGGTGGTAGGATCAAGGGTGGGCAGTGGGGATGGAGGGTGGGGGAGTGGTGAAGGGAAAATGGAGACAACTGTACTAGGACAATAAAAATGAATTTAAAAAGTACAAATAAGTAGTTACCAAATAGCCATGGTGATGTAAAGTACACTACAGAAAATGGAGTAGCCAAAGAACTTATATGGATGACCCATGGACATGAACAAAAGTGCAGGAACTGCCTGAGGGAGTGGGGGGTTCCGCATAGAGTGGGACAAAGGGGGAAAATCAGGACAACTGTAATAGCATAATCAATAAAGTATAATTAAAAGGGCTCTGGCTGGTGTAGCTCAGTGCATTGAGTGAAGGCTGCAAACCAAAGGGTTGCTGGTTCCATTCCCAGTCAGGGCACATGCCTCAGTTGCAGGCCAGGTCCCCGGTGGGAGCCACATGAGAGGCAACCATGCATTGATGTTTCTCTTTATTTATCTCTTTCTCCTTCCCTTCCCCTCTCTAAAAATAAATAAATAAATAAATAAATAAATAAATAGTCTTTAAAAAGTAAGTTTGGGCTTTACCTTACAGATAATAGGCAAATACAGAACGTTTTAAATCAAGAGAGTGATGT